TTTTTTGAGATGGGGTCTTGCTCTGTCACCCAGGCTGGAGTGCAGGGATACGATCTCAGCTCACGGCAACCTCTGCCTCCTGAGTTCAAACGATTCTCCTGCCTCTGCCTCCCAAGTAGCTGGGACTACAGACATGCACCACCACACCCAGCTAATTTTTGTATTTTTAGTAGAGACGGAGTTTCACCATGTTGGCCAGGCTGGTCTCAAACTCCTGACCTCCGGTGATCCGCCCATCTTGTCCTCCCAAAGCGCTGGGATTACAGGTGTGAGCCACCATGTCTGGCCTATTGGTGTCATTTACAAGTACCCATAGCTTCCAATCAATTCTCAAAGGGTCCAGGTCCCAAATAAGATTAGAGACATTATATTCCTGTATTAGTCCATTTTCACACTGCTATAAAGAACTACTTGAGACTGGGTAATTTATAAAGGTAAGAGATTTAATTGACTCACAGTTCCGCATGGCTGGGGAAGCCTCAGGAAACTTAGAATCATGGCAGATGACAAAGGGAAAGCAAGCACCTTCTTCACAAGATGGCAGGAGAGAGGGAGCGCAGGGGAAACTGACACTTTTAAATCATCAGCTCTTGTGAGAGTTCTCTCACTATCATAAGAACAGCATGGGGAAAACCGTCCCATGATCCAATCACCTCCCACCAGGTCCCTCCCTCAACACGTGGGGATTACAATTCAAGATGAGATTTGGGTGGGGATACAGAGCCAAACCATATCAATGACATATCTATGTTCTTTTTTTGCAAGGAATATTCCTAAAAAGGATATACAAGAAACTGGTAACAACGGCTGTCTCTGGGAAGGAAGGAAATCTGGAAATCTAGAGTGAGAAAGAGACCTGTCTTTCACTGTACACTCTTCTGTACTTTTCTGAATTTATTTTTATTAAGATCATGTATTACTTCTTCAACTAAAATAACCTAAAGAACTGCTTTGGAGAGAAGAGGGGGCCTAGCAACCATCTAGAAGCTCAGCTGAATTCCTCGTTGTATCATTGGCCCTGAAGATCTCACTTGATATAAATTCTACCTATTTTCTCCAATCACAGGAGCATGTTTCCAGGAGAGAAGAACAATCACCATGGAGGTTTTCCACTGCAGCAGTGCTTCGTGAGTTTGGGAGGCACCTTGAATTTTGACGACATGGGTTTGAATGCTACTGCTGTTGCAGCTGTTCCTTCTCCAGGACCTGAATGGAACCACCTGGCATGAGTCTCCAGCTCTTAAATCAGTCCACCCACAGCCTTGGCTTCTTAAGGTGTGTGTAGTGAGAAGGCTGGGAAAGTAAGGCAGGTGGACCTCACCAGACAGAAGTGTGCAAAACAGAAACACACAGGCGGCTCACCAAGTACCCCCATCCCTGTCAGCACTGCTGCTGGAATGATTAACAAGAGGCCAAGCCAAGTTCCCACTGCTCCGGACTGAGGGGATAGAGGAAGAGGCAGAGAGAAGCAGGTCACACCTGCATGTTCTTTTTCCTCCTTCTTGGGACAAACTTTGTTTACTTGCAGACTGCAGGTGGCGGTGGCTGGGCCTATAAATACGACTGTGAGGCCAGTTGGCTTGACTCAAGCGGGTCATTTAAGCAGGGGGGATTTGGGGCCACTCTGTTATTGCTTCCCATCCAAATCCCATTTCCTGCCTAATTTCCTCCAGCCAACTCACCATGCAGCATCCAAATAAAGTCATGGCTCAATTTATAAACAGACAATTGGGACCTGCAGTGTGAGAAACCTTCGATCTGTATAGGAGCCTGCATAAGTCTCAGCATGGTTTCACTGATGTAAGATGAGGAAAATCCTTTATGTTTAAAAGTACTACAGTTACAGCAATAATCTCTACCATGCCTAATACTGGTGTTCATTTTATTGATAAGGAAACTGAGGGCTCCAAAATTACAGTGCTGGTGTTCCCTCCACCTGTGTAGGGCATTGGCATTAGGAAGACACCAAATTTCAATTTGTTGAATGAAAAATGCAATAATTGAATGAATCGATCAATCAAGAGAGGAAGAGGAATCAATCAATCAATCAATTGAATGAATCAATCAATCTCCTATCGGCTCATGAGAGCCAAGCAAAAGCATATCTTCCCAATTCTGCCTTCAATAACATCGTATTGGTAGCTTGAAATTGATTATGGTGGGAGTATCTTTGCCAGCATATTGGCAGATGCTACGAATCAGGGCTTTTTCCTTTTCTTCCATAGAGCCAGTTTACACTAGGCTGAAGTGTCTCTCACTGAGCCTGTGTATTCTGGGAAACACTGTGTGTGTGTCTGTAGCTCACTGTCTATCACTACACAGAGGCACCACATAGTACAGTCAATCAAAACCCAGGCAATTAGTATATGCAATGAGATACCAGGTTTCTCAGATCATCATCCTTCTTCAAAAAAAAAAACAAAATAGGGGATATTGAGAGGGGCCTATGTAAATAATACTTATTACTTCACATTCATTTATAGATCCTACTGCATGCAGGCTGGAGGAGAGAAACAGACATTTGAGATATACTCCATATTCTCAAGGAACACACAGTCTCAGGTACAGACTATAACGTGCACACAAATCACTTGGGAATCTTGGTAAAATGCAGATTGAAATCCAGTAGGTCGTGTGGAACCTGAGATGCTGCATTTTGAACCAGCTCCCAGGTCAAGTTGATGCTGCCCATCCACAGACTGTACCTAGAGAAGCAAAGGCCTAGGAGGTCACTGCATGCTAACAGTATGTCACTGCAAGTTCTTAGGTAACATAGCTATTCACAAGCTGAATCCTCACAACCGCAGGCATATATTCTTTTCATCCGCATTTTACAATGAGACCATTGAGACCCAAGATCACCCAGCTGGTAAACTGCTCCTGGCTCAAAGCCAGGTAGTCTCACTCAGAGAAGGAAGGGTCACTCTCAAAAGTACACTCTGGTTGGAACTTTTCAGTTGATTTTCTGTCTCGAAAATTATCCCTGCCTCTCCTTCCTCTACCTACTCTCTGTTCGTTAACCATCCATTTCCTATTTCGCCACCTCCAAGTACTTCTACAAAAGAAGAACTGAACAGATGTGGAACCAAATGCACAAACTCATCCATCCGGAGTGTTATCAACTATGTGTCTTCTTTTTTATTTTCTGTTGCTTTGACATCTGGTCTGGCTGACCATAGAGGGACTGCCTTTTCCAGGGTTAGCTGATCCTAAAGATAATCAACAATTTCCCAGCTACCTTGCCTTTCAAATGGAAGCCAACCAATCCAGAGCCCGTACCCTAGCCATCTATTTTATGGGGCTCTCACCCTTTTGGCCACTATCTCCCTTCCCTAATCACCCCAGAACCAGGTACAGGACAACTCAGAACAGAGAGCCCATAAACCCCAGAGCCTGCCGAAATTATACGAACTAACCAATCCTAAACCTGCTTACTCTGCCTCACCCATTCCTTCCTGCAGAAACCACAATAAGGGCTCCTGCTGACATTTCTCCAGGCTCCCTCTGCCTCCTGACCAACCCCAGTGCTTCCTGTGCTGCCCCCCACGGCATAGCTGGCCCCTACTTTTTCGGTGAGTATAACCATCTTTACAATGGCAGTCATCCCCTGATTTTTTGGCCTTATCATATCTAAATAATAACAAAACCTATATTTTAAATATCAAGTTCACCTGGAAAGTTAAATCCCAAAGGATTTGTGGATTACTTAGGCTTTCCCTTGCCCCTCCTCCTCCCAGGCTCAGCCCCTCTCTGGGGTGGCTTGCACACATTCTCAATGGACTCCTTCCCAAGGTCCTTGCCTTAGCCTTGTCTGCTTGTCTTGAAACTTCCATCCCTGGGGAGAGTGCCAGGTGCCACCTGCAGCCTCAGGGTCTCTTACCTAATTCCCCGGCAGGTGCTGAGCGTGACGCTGGACGGTTCTGTCTCCCTCACCGTGCCGTGGTAAAAACAGTGATCCTACCAAGGAGAAAGGAGGTGGTCAGCCCAACGGACACTGATAAGCATGGCAACATTAATGTCTCAGGACAGTGATTGGTGATGCATGGCTTACTATATACCTACCCAGCCTTATAGCAGCTTACAACCTGCAACGAGCTCTCCAAGCCACCATTTCATTCGATTCCCATGGTAATCCTGAGAGATGGGGCAGGGCAGATGTCCTTATCTCCATGAAGCACATGAAAAGCTGAGGCTCAAAGGAGCAAAGAGATTTGCCCAAGGTTTCTCTGCTGGTTGGGAAATCCAGAATTTTCCTAGTGCAGAGCTCTTTCCATGGCGTGATGTTGGCCACAGAAAACACTGATTCCTGAAAGAACCTGCCTCCCCAGCGATGTTATCTTTGCAACCCCCCTGCAGTGAGTTGAATAGAATCCCCCTAAAATTCACATCCACCTCAGAATGTGATTTTATTTGGAAATAGGCTCTTGTAGATGTAATTAAATTAAGATAATGTCATGCTGAGTCAGGCGCAGTGGCTCACGCCTGTAATCCCAGCTCTTTGGGAGGCTGAGGCAGATGGACCACTTGAAGTCAGGAGTTCAAGATCAGCCTGGCCAACATGGTGAAACCCCATCTCTACTAAAAATACAAAAATTAGTTGGGCGTGGTGGTGCACACCTGTAATCCCACTACTCGGGAGGCTGAGACAGGAGAACCGCTTGAGCCTGAGAAGTGAAGGTTGCGGTGAGCCGAGATGGCACCACTGCATGCTAGCCTGGGCGACAGAGTGAGATTCTGTCTCAAGGAAAAGGAAAAAGCAAAACAAAAACAAAATGATATCATGCTGAATTAGAGAAGGTCCTAAATCCAGTGATTTGTGTCCTTCTAAGAAGAGGGAAGAACACAGAGACACACGCAGTAAGAGAAGAAGGCAATTTACAGATGGAGGCAGAGACTGGGGTGATGAAGCTCCAAGCCAAGGAACACTAAGCATAGCCAGAAGCCACCAGAAGCTAGAGGAGCACAGAATGATTCTCCCCAGAGGCTTGGAGGGAGTAAGCCCTGCCAACACCTTGAGCTTGGACTTCTAGCCTCCAGGACTGTGAGAAAGTAAAATTCCATTTTTTTAAACCCTTAAGTTTATGGTGCTTTGTTACAGTAGCCAACACTCCCTTCTCTTCCACAGCTCTTGCAGCTCTTCCAGATCACACTTGATTTGGCACCTGTGCCCCTGAGGCCTGCTGCTGCTCTCCAGCCACGGTGTCTCACAGCTGTCAGAATTCTTCCATCACTACAAACAGCTGTGAGCACTACACCATGCTGGGCCTGGGCTAGCCCCAGGAGACACCATAATGGGCAAACAGAGTCACAGCTTCAGCCTTCGTGGGGCTTATGGTCTTGTGAGGGGCAGTCATTAATGAGAAATCCAAACAGATGTAATTACAAACCAAAAGGAGGGGCTTGAAATAAACATTTCAGGTGGTGGCAGAGTGTTTTATAAGTCAGGTAACCATAGAACTTAGGAAGCAAATACGCACTGTTGAGCATGCTAAAGTGCTAAACCAGACAGACGGGCATGAAATCAGGACCGTCTCCAACAAATGGAGGAGTAACAACAAGAGACACGTTCCTAGAGGCTTCCTCCCAAATAGGTCAAGAGAGATACACTGGTCAGAACAAAGAGAAGGTAAAACCCTCAGGGGACAGCGGGCTCTGAAAAGATTTCAAGAGGGATAGATGTGAACCACACGGTTGCAGCCACGGAAGCTTTCTCTTTTCCCCCATCTCAGGACCATGCTGCTTGCCGTTGCTTCTTTGTCCCCACCAGACAGGGATGTGACCCAATCCTCAGCTACCCCGTGTGTCTGTATTCTCTGGCTCCACCTCCCTCCCAGCTCTCAGCCTGAGTATAGACAAATAATTAAATTCGAGCATTTTGGCATAGCCAGGCCAGATTTAAATCCAAGCATAAGCAATTGTACAACCTCTCTCTGACCTTCAGCGTCTTTAGCCTCTGCCCCCCAGAGTGGTGGTGAGAATATTGTATATAAAGGAGCTAGTAGAGTACCTGGCCCAGAGTGGCAGGCAATAAACATCGGCAACCATGTAATCATGCAATTCTCCTTTAACAAAGAATACGGGCTCAAGGGACCTGGAAGCTCTCCAAGAGGCTGAATCCACAGCCCTAGCTGTGCCATCTCTCCATCCTATCCAGCCAGCCATGCAGCCAAATCAAAGGATACAGGCCAAGCTGACACTCAGTGCGGCCTCGTTCTCCAGACCACAGGTGCCCTTTCATCTGCAGGTGATCCATCTGCCAGCGATGTGGCTCTCCTGCCCATTCAAGCTCAAGCAGTCAGGAGGATGGACAGAGCCAACCCCTAGCTTTGCATCAAACTCTTCTAGACTTTAAACAAGTCAGATGCCACCCTTGAGAGGAGCACAAAGGAAAGTCACTGTGCTGTGATTATGAAAGAAGGTGTGGCAGGCAAAACCCTCCTTCTGGCCAGGATTCCAACTGCTTTCAAATGCTAGCCTATCATGTGGCTTCTCTATCTGTCCCTGGGATCTGGGATTTTGGAGGGCCCTCATGAACACTCAAGTCCTGAACCTGGTCCTTAGAACTCAACAGGGAAGCCACAAACCCCGTAGCACAGGATTATTCATGGGAAGAAAAGGGGCTGGGCCTGTGTGGGTTAAATGGGGCTCAGAGAAGTTGCAATGACAGAGAATCAAGGAGTTCAGAAATGTTTATCAGCTACAGTTTCAAAACGCTGGTTAACAGAAAGAACAGAGGCCAGGCGCGGTGGCTCACACCTATAATCCCAGGACTTTGGGAAGCTGAGGCAGATGGATCACAAGGTCAAGAGATTGAGACCATCCTGACCAACATGGTGAAACCCTGCCTCTACTAAAAATACAAAAAATTAGCTGGGCGTGATGGTGCACGCCTGTAGTCCCAGCTACTTGGGAGGCTGAAGCAGAAGAATTGCGTGAACCCAGGAGGCAGAGGTTACAGTGAGCTGAGATCACACCACTGTGACAGAGTGAGACTGCGTCTAAAAAAAAAAAGAAAAAAAAAAAAACAAGAGAGAAAAAACTGAAACCCAGAAACCCAGAAATGGCTGTGAAGAATCCCCGCACCTCTTCCTATCTTTAAGTGGATGCTAAGAGTGTTCATAGCTGTAGTGCTCTTAAAAATTGAGCACCTGACTTCTGTAACATGCTTTACAATTTACAGAGCTCTCACATACACTATCTCATGTGACGATGACACCTACAACTTACTATTAATAACAATAAGAGGTCAGGTGTGGTGGTTCACACCTGTAACCCCAGCACTTTGGGAGGCTGAGGCGGGCAAATCAATTGAGGCCAGGAGTTTGAGACCTGCCTGGCCAACATGATGAAACCCCTATCTCTGCTAAAAATACAAAAATTAGGTGGGCGTGGTGGTGGGTGCCTGTAATCCTAGCTACTCGGGAGGCTGAGGCAGGAGGATTGCTTGAATCTGGGAGGCAAAAGTTGCAATGAGTTGAGATCACGTCACTGCACTTCAGTGTGGGCGACAGAGTGAGACTGGCTCAAAAAAAAGAAAAACAAACAAACAAACAATGAGAGCTAACATCTAACCAGGCATGGCGTCTTATGCCTATAATCCCAATACTTTGGGAGGCCAAGGCAAGAGGATCACTTAAAGCCGGGAGTTCGAGGCTGCAGTGAACTACGATTACATCACTGCACTCCAGCCTGGGGGACATAGCCAGGCCCTACGTCTAAAATGAAAGAGCTAACATCCATCCAGCTCTTATTGCTTGGTGAACAACTTAGGCAGACTTTTTCCTTTGATTCTGACCAGTCTTATGAGGTAGATATTATTATTGCCATGTCCTAAAGGAAGGAAATTGAAACAGAGGTTCTAAGTCATTCACAAAGTGACACAGCAAAGTGGAGGCTGCAACCCCAGCAGCCTGTCCCTAAGCTCCATCCTCTGCCTCTCCAAGCAGTAGCAAAGGAGGAACTTGGTTTGTCACGCTTCTTATCCCCAGCTTCTCACAAGTTCTAGCCTACGCCTTGCCACTTACTGGTTATTTGACTTGGGCAAATTACTTTTCCTCTTCTCCTCTCAACTGCCTCATCTGTAAAATGTGGGGCTGGAAGAGATGTTTATGAATTCCTCTAAAAATCAGTGATTCACCTTACCCTTCCACAGCCCTGTGAGTCAGATATCAGCATATCCAATTTACAGATGAGAAAACAACACTAGTGTGGTCAAGGGCAAGGGGGTTGTTTAAGGTCCTATAACTAGTTAAAGCCAAGATGATAACCCTGGCTTCAGATTGCAAACCCTGTCACGCTTTCTGTTAGAACATATTCACAGACCCATTCCCCCAGCCACCTGACCTAGATGGGTCTGTAGCCTAAAGGCCTGGCTGATGAGTCTTGAAAGGTTCCCAGAACTCCAGCTACCCCAGGCCAAGTTTGGTAGTAGAGTGCAGTCCCCAACATTCGGGTCAAGGGCAGCTGAGTGGTTTATTCCATTCCCATTTTTCATTGAGATCTCAGCTCCTAAATGAGAACCCCACGGGCCTGGGTGGGAGCTTTGCAAGAGTCTAGTAGCAGGGGATGTTAAAAAACAATGAGTTGTTCTCCCATAGTTCAACTAGGATGTGCTTCAGTCAACGAGACCTTCTGGAAGGAGGGGATTCTGGGGATGAGGGGGGTTCTCTTCCAATTCTCTGTTTCTGAAAGGCCATTACAACATCTCTGCCTAATGCACAAGCTGAGAGCACAAAGAACAAGGAAGGACCAGTCATTAAGTCATTGCATTCCTCAGCTTCTCAGCCTTATGAGGCCACCCCGAGGGGGCTTTCATAGCAGAAAGCATGAGCTCATGGCAAATTTGTGGACTGAGACCCATTCTTGAGCTGTGGGTATTGAAGTGGCAGGATCCAAACTCAGAGAAGGGTGTTTGAAGGAGGCTGTCCTGGCTAAAGGCCTTCTAGACATGCCTGTTCCCCCATCCCACCCCGCTCCTAGAGACAGAGAACAGAGGTCTCGTGAAGAGAGGAAAAGCTTTGACCAAGGGGCATTGAAGAATATGAAGTCACAGCTGGACAGCCTCCCTGGGGATGAGAAGACACAGCCCAGCTTTGCTGCAGGCACTGGCCACACTACCAACTCTGTCCCCATCCAGGACAGTCTTGGTGAAGAAGGCAGCGCTGGTCCTCACAGCCAGCCATATAACACAGCCCCTGAGCTACCCGGTTGCTATGCTTCAGATCTCTCAGATCTATCAAAAACTGTGGCCGGGCACAGTGGCTCACACCTGTAATCCCAGCACTTTGGGAAGCAGAGGTGGGCAGATCACCTTAGGTCAGGAGTTCAAGACCAGCTTGGCCAACATGGTGAAACCCTATCTGTACTAAAAACACAAAAATGCCTGTAATCCCAGCTACTGGGGAGGCTGAGGCAGAAGAATCGGTTGAACCTGGGAGGCAGAGGTTGCAGTGAGCTGAGATCGAGCCACTGTACTCCAGCCTGGGCGACAGAGACTTGCCTGTCCTGTATCTCTTTCCACATCCAGGGGTAATCTGGCGAACTAATCTGAGCTGTTAATGACTGAGTGGCTAGTGTTATCTTGATGGACACTTGCACTCCAGCAGGGATATTTTAAAGAATGGGCCCGGTAGAATACTCAGGCTCCATGGGAGGCTGCTGGAGGCGTCCTGAGACAGAGGGACTTCTGCTGTTCTCCACACCACACCTCCCAGTCTGTACTGTGCCTCAGTAGTCCACTATGTCCTGCCCCAAAGGCAAAGGCCACCGCTGCTCCTGTCGGCATGCATCTTCCCTCTTCACCCCATCTCACCAGCCCAGATTTTGAGAATGGTCATTCGAATCCAGGGTTTCTCAACTTGGGAACTATGGAGATTTGGGGCTGGATAATTCTATTGTTTGCGGGGGGTGGTGTCTGTCTTATGCATTGTAGAACACAGATGCCAGTAGATCCTCCCTGCCAGTCATGGCAATCAATCAAAACTGCCTCCAAACATTGCCAAGTGTCCCCTGGGGTCAGGGGAACACCATTGGTTCTCCTGGTTGAAAATCAATGTTCTGAGCCTACAAATTCCAATAGGCATCCCTGTAAGAAGAGCCAGCCACCATGAAATGTGCATGATTCACTGCCTAAAATGTCTACCAGTGGAGTGTGGTAAAGCAAACTGACATGTAATGATCTGAAAGACGATTTTCTAAATGAAAGATCTTTGACGTTGTGTAAACATCCCTACTCAAAAACAACTTTAAGGGAAAAAATGTCCAATATGAAGATAGAAGCAAATTAAGAAAATCTTCATAACTTAAAAATCACATTGAAATAGCAGACTACAAAATGTATGCAGTGATTACAACTCTGTAAACGTTACACATCCATTTAAAAAGGAATAATCAAATGTCTAATTGGATGAGAAGACAGGATTATCAGTAAGTCATTCCTTTCACTACAACTTTTGTTAATAGGTAGGTAATTAACATAAAGCAAAGAACATGTATGTTTTACAATAATTTGCATCAGTTGTAATCAGATGCAATTACCGTAAAATATTCTATATTTCTTTAGCCATTTTAGTCAGCAAAGGAGGAGGAGGAGCACCTATGAAACATCAAATACATGTTTTGCTTCTCTTGTTTGCTCCCTTGTTCTAAGCTTGGGGAAAACGCTTCCTTCAGAGGAGGGACCAACTCCAACAGGCATCTCCTCTGTCCCTAGGAGTGGTGCTGGGAGAGGACAGCTGCTGGACAGACGCTTGTGAACCTGAACTCACCTCTGACTTCAGTGTGGTGGTTTGAGGGTTGCCACTTGAAGTATAGTGGGTTTCTGTGTAGGAAGGAGCAAAAAGTTGCCTGCAAAAAATAAAAAGAGACATTATATCTAAGTGGATGAATTCCATCTCCTAGCAACAACTATTGATTTTAACTGAACCGGCAGGACTATCCCAAGCATCTCCAAGCAAAAGAAACGGGCAGCCACAAGGGGCTAAGGGGCAAAACGGAAAACCAGAAGAAGTTTGTTATTAATTTTATATTTAATGTAAATTAAATATAATTTATCATCGCTGTGGGAACATCACTCCAACTAAACGGAACTGACAGAACTAAAGCAATGATTTAATGTTTGTCTGGGTCCTGGAAAACACACGTGCAAACACAAGCAAAATTTCCCAGGGCCTATGAGCCCTATTGTGCACCTTAGTTGATTTTTCCAGCACTGGATCTACCAATTTTTAGTATCTGCAGACCAATTTTTCTTTAAGGGAATACCTCTTCTCTGATGCATATTTTGGTGAGATTGTCAATCAAGGTGTCCTACTTGGCCCTGGCCAGAGGGTGACCCGTGTTTCAAGTGAAGCCGGTGGAGGGATGCTGCCAGGTCTGAACAGATGGAGGCGATGCATCTGTTCCTCTGCTCCTGCTACAGGGGTTCCCTAAGCTGCTGTTGCCTGCCGTTTCTGACACCTAGCGGTTCAGGTTTCCTGAGACCTGGTAATTCTATATGTTACCCCTCCAATAAGTTCCTTTTTTGCTTTTCTAAACTTGGACATTGGTTTCTTTCTTGCAACAGACCCTTTGAAATAGAGATTAAGAATCCCTCACCAAAGGCAAGGCAATTCCAAGAAATGTTCTTAGAATTTTCTCTAAAAGTTAAAAGAATAATGTAAGAGCCAAATGGATGTTTCAACTATTAATAGTTCAGCCACATTAAAGGCAGGATCGATCCACAGAAAGTCAAGGTTGGCCAGGTGCACTGGCTCACGCCTGTAATCCCAGGACTTTGAGAGGCTGAGGCAGGCAGACTGCCTGAGATCAAGAGTTCAAGACCAGCCTGGTCAACATAGTGAAACCGTGTCTCTACTAAAAATACAAAAATTAGCTGGGTGTGGTGGTGGGTGCTTGTAATCCCAGCCAGCTACTCGAGAGGCTGAGGCAGGAGAATCGCTTGAACCTGGGGGGCGGAGGTTGCAGTGAGCCGAGATGGTGTCACTGGACTCTAGCCTGGGTGGCAAGAGTAAGACTCCATCTCAAAACAAAAAACAAAAACAATTGGAGAAACAAGTGCCTGTTGTTGGTGGTGATTATCTTAGGGGTTGCAGAAGATGTTCACAATGTAAGTTGCATATTTCTGAAGTTGGTTGACTTTTAAATTAACTATCAGAGAGGTGTTTTGAAAACTAAAAATCTAATTTAAAACAGCTCTTAAAAAGCAGAAAATGTAGGCTTAGGCCAGCACAGACAGCCAAAGAAATCTTCAGGGATAAGTCAGGTTTTGAAAGAGGTGACATTTCCCAGCAAGAGAGGGTCATCGTAGAGGGTCTCTAAAATCCCTCTAGAGTCACTTCCAGCTTTAAGTTCCGGGACCTCTCCAATCTCCCTCTATCCCCAGTGTAAGATCAGAAGGCAAATGCCACAAGAAGTGTCTCCTATACTACATTAAGGCCTTCCACATCTTGCCTTGGACAAGAAGAAAAGAAGCCCAACAGGAAAATGTAAAAATGAAGCAAAGCACGAACCCCAGCTTGGTGAAGAGAAATTCTCATTCACACAGAGACTTAGGGTCAGTGGCTAACTTGCAAGAATCTGTCTCCCAGTCCTCTCTCTTTCTCCTTAGCATCTGACTAGCCCAAGAGTCCAGGGAGGAGTCACCCATTTGTCTGGGTGAGAAAAACTGTACGCCTCATGAGGGGAGTGGCCAAGCAGTTTTGCTCACTGGTTTATGTCAGTGCTTAACGTTTGTTCAGTGAAAAACCCTCTTAACTAATTAGCATGGTCTGGACACTGGAAAACTGAAGTTTTGATTCCAGCTCTGACATGTACTGGCTCTATAGCCATGAACAACTAAATGCACGTTTCTGAACCTTTGTTTCCTCCTATGCAAAAATGAGAACAATATGCTCATTTGATAGGGCTGTCATGAGGATCAAATGACACAATAAATGTAGCAGGCTTAATGCTATGTTTGGTACAAAGCGGAGCTGGGTAAAAGTTAGTGACAACCATTATTGCTTTCAACAGGCATTATGACAGAAGAATCCAGGAAAACGGATGGAATCCAACGGTTTCTTCTCCCTAACTTTCCCCAGCCATGATCTCTCCAGTAGTACATCACTTAAGAGAAGTGGTAAAATGCAGTTTGCTCATTCCTACAGCCCATTTCCTGGGTCTGCTTTCACAGATGGCGCCATGTACAACTGGTTAGGAGTTTAGAGTTTAATGGTGCCAGAGGGGAGATGTGAATTTTCCCACAGAAAATGCACTCCTGGTAAAAACATTCCCAGCCTCTTCTGAGTCTTAGCAAGGGAGAAAAAAAATCATCCATCCAAGGACATTACCCCATCATTTTAGGACTCTCCGAGCCTCAGCACTGAAAGGAATCCTAGAAATTATATAGTCAAATCCCAACTACACTGTAAGCTCTCCAAAACAGGGAGCTTGGTGTCTTTGAAGGCTTCTCCCCAGCCCCCAGCACCTAGCAGGCAGGCAGTACATGTGCATTCTGTGAACGAGTGGATGAGTGAATATTAACTCGCAAACAAATGAATGAACTTTCTATCTAGTGCAGCAATCTGCCAGATAGTCATTTGCCACTGGACACCTCCAGGGACAGGGAGCTCCTGAGACTATCCACTCCATTTCTGACTACATATAGTAGTTAAAATGTTTACACTAGATAAAAAACTATTCCTCTGTCCCTGGCACCCACAGACCTTCATTCTGGTCTCTGAAACTACATAAAACAATCCGCTTTCCTCTTCTACCTAATCACCCTTTCTGAAGCAGCAGTATCAGCATCATCTAGAAACTAGTTAAAAATGCAAATTGTCGGGTTCTACCCAGACTCATGAATCAGATAGTAACTCTAGGGTTGGGGTCCAGCCATCTGTCTGAACAACTCTGCAACTCCCCCAGGTCAGGTCTATATATGCCCATGTGTCCAGGTGCTGCTCTTAGGTCCAAAGGATGCTGCTATCCCACAGAGAGGAGGGCATATGGCCACTGAGCAGCCCGGCTCCGCCCAGCTGCCCCATTCTCTGACCACATCTTGTTCTCATCTCCTCCCTGACAAGGGGCTGGCTCAGCAGACCGGCAGGAAGCCGTCTCTCACCACTGGATTGCATTGGGATTTTCAGGAAACGACTTGTGAGTGATGTGCATCCAGGAAGAGAAAGGACTGTGCAAGATTTCCCATTCCGCCCACTCCTTCTTTCTAGCTTTAATAGAAAAGTGATTTCTGTTGTACCCCGCTGCCTCCTGCTCTGTCTGCTGCACGCTTAGGAGCCCACAGACAGGCAGAAATCAGTAGGACACTCTGCCACGTCTCGGCACCAACGTTAACAGTAGCCAGCACTACAATTGAGCAAAATCCAGGTCATTTAGATCCCAAAGTCCCTGAGCAAAATCTGTATCTTCAGATTCCCATCTAGGAAAATAAGCTACCCCCAAATACTGGGCATAAAACATTAGGTCACTCTCTAAGAAAGAACTGGAACCTGTACAAGCAGCCAGGCGCCGAAAGTACACTGCAGCCTGAAAACAGCTCGGACCCATCGCACCTAAGGCTCGGAAGCTTCAAACTCAGGACAATTCCTTTAAGCTCTATTTATAGTCAGACAAAATTTCAAATGCCTCTCTATGCTAAAACACCCTCTAGAGAGGAAGGAGCAGTGACACCAAAATGAATTTGCAAAGCATCTTCTGGGAGCTCAAACTGTCTTCCTCTTGCTTCAGATAAGCAAACCAGTAAAGATAAAGTGATAACAATTTCCAAATTACCTTGAAAAATACCCTTCTGCAGACAAGCTCAGCATAGGTGAGCAACACCCTGCTCATATAAGCAGCAATTTTTGCTGACACCTCCTTTCCCTGGATCTTTCTCTATCTAATTCTTCCCTGATGCCTTGGGAGGTCCTGATCTGCTGGTGTCTCTTATTTCACCAGGAGGGTCTTCATCCTGCCTGTGTTAGTAACAATGTTCTCACCATGCGACAGCACAGCAGCTTCACAACACCCTGAAAGACTGTTAAAAAAAATACAAAATCCCCTCCCTTCTCTAGGGAAGAATTAACAAATCCGCATTTTAGTTTTTTTTTTTTTTAGATGGAGT